AAGTAGTCAGCTAGTTTGGCACACCACTTTGAGCTTTCTCTCCAAGCTCAACGAGCATCGTCAATAAAGCCTCGCACATTTCGCAGGCATTTGGCTCGGTTGGATCCTTCTTCCAGGACGCGTACACCATCCACGAATGATCGAGTTTCATGTCGGGCCTTACGACTACCGAGCCCGGAACCTCTGCATCTCGACACGTCACAAGCCCGTCACTCTTCTCCCCATAACGGAGTTGCAGGTGGAGTGCAGACAGGGCCATGGCAGCCGAGACGGGCACTATCACAGGCACCTCCGCGCCACCGTCCCTTGTAACCCACGGAACCTCGGCATGCGCAATGTGGGACATTGTTGAGATGACACCTGGCGCCACCCGAGCTTCCGAGTGGAATGAGATGAGAGGGATGTTGTTGGGAAGTTTGTGGTTGCGAATGAATTCCTTGCGCTTCTCATAGGTCAGGTCCTCCAGCGCTCGTATATCACCCTTACAGAACGAAAAATGAAACAGTTGATGACTAAGTGGGAGACAAAAGAAACATTTGATGCAGCTACTGAAATAAATGCATGTGAAAATTCACAACACATTTGTTGTTATATAATAGCCCTGACACTAAAAGGCAGATATTGGATATCAGAGATGAAGAGGATAACTCATTGGTGTAATACAATAATGTAAACTGGGAAAGATAGCGAGAAAAGATGGCAAAAGATGTACAATAATGTAAACTGGGACTGCTAACTAAAAATCTTATGAGCATGGCTATAAAGAAGACAGAGTTGTCGTTGCAGTAACAACCTTAATCTATAGTCTCATCAAGTTATATTAGTCTCAATTTACTAAATCGGTAAGTTTTGAGACTCCATCAAAGAAGACTAAAGCTTATCCGTAGAAAATTTATAGTGCGCATTTGATGCACACCATAAAACAAGAACTAACATTAATCAAGAACCACCAAATTTGACTCACATTTATAAAAGGGAGTAACTTTACAACTTTACAGTTATAGAGTGAAAACTAAAATTTAGCATTGTATGAAAAAATGACAATTGTATAGGATATGGACTAAATACTTTCGATAGCAAACCATATCAAATCTACATATTTAACAAATAGATAAACATTACCACCGCTTATCATCTTTTACATAATTTATCTATAAGATTTACGAGTACAATAACATAACCTGAGTCTGAATTTCCATCCAGAAATCAAAAAAGAATATATTTGGTATATATGTGGGGAAATACATACAACTTTGTAGTCATAATCGATTGGAAACATTAGATTTGGGGAATAATGAAATTTCTTAACAGTGAGGTAATGTAAAAAACTGACACTTCCTTAACTTTTGAATCAAAATAAAATCATGTTCAAGTACATAACCTAAAACATATATACACCTGACTGTTACATATAAGAAGATTCTCTAATATCTGAAAAAAATAATAAGAATCAAATAATAGCCAACAAGTCTAACACAACCACTCATCAAATAAAACTATATGATATGTATCAAGTACCCAACCTACAGAAGCATGCAATAACTACTAATTACTTTTGCTTCAAAAAGAAAATGTTAGATTCGACGGCAATTTGGCTTTCTGGTCATGTACAATCTTTTTTTATTCTTTAATTGATACCGTGATAAACCACGAGTTGCATACTGAATTGTTTAAGCAAAACTGAAACTGCACAACATTTACTCCTCATAGTAGTACAATGCAGAAAGACAATGAATAAGTTCCAAGGTCTTCCCACAGGAGAAAGGAATTATGATATCGAGATCATGTATGCCTGTTTTTCCCCAACACCTGAAGGATATACACATCTTTTCTTCGAATGGCATAGAGATTATTACCTTAATAAGTTTGCATATCAAAAACTCCATGATCCTCCGGGTTTCCTTATCAGCAACCTGGCCTTCACGAAGAATGTCAGATGCAATGGGTGTTCCACCATAAGGACTCTGCACTAGTGCCAATCCTGCAACTTTATCTTTCAGTTCAAGTGAATATATTGACAAAGCAGCTGCAGCATCAACTCCACCTTTGCTGTGACCCAGCAACATCACACGCTTTCCAGACCCCCAATATAATTCCTCTATATATTGCTTTAGTTCCCAAGCATTGTGTTCCACCGATGCCTAAGTAAAGAATTGAAAAACAATATAATAAAATATAGTAAAAAATAAGATACAAATTAAAAGGGCAGAAAATTAAACAGCCACTGAGGCAGTTCCCAAATTATGATACATCTAAAAGGAGTACCTCACTATGAATTTTAGCAATATGGCAGGCTAGACCCATCTTTGAGAAAAATCTCTTCGTGCTGACAAAATACAGGGGACCATGATTGCTGAAGAGTCCTAATTAATTAGGTTTAGAGGAAAATGAATCAGCAGACAATATAGAGCCGCTGAGCATCAGATGTTAATTTAAGAAAGACAGTGGAATTTGTTAAACCTGGAATCAGCAAGTAAACAAATGAATCAGGTAGCACGTGCACCCCGTTCCTGGATACAATATTTAGAGATGCATGTCATCTGATTTTATTTTTATTATGTTGAGGGCTATGAGGATAATGTTTTTTTTTTTTTTATAGTTGTTAGCATAAATGAAATTGTTTATGCCTCGAATCTTCATTTTCACACATGCTATCTAAATTCAGAAGAGAGACCACAGTAATTAAGTAACCATGTCAACTGAAAGCATCTATAGAGGGAATAGCAATCAGTATATACCTTCAAAATCTAGGTAAGGTCCCTACATTTCAATTCACTACACACTCATGTTCCCATCTTCTCCCTTTTGCTGAAACCAAAAATGATTTGTTCCTAAACATATGCTACTCCTTCCATCCCAAAAAGATAGACTACACTTCTATTTACGCTCCCATAAAGATAGTCTTATTACATTAAATAGCACTTCAATTAACTAAACAAATAATGGCTAGGGTCACCAAATGAAATAATAATTAATCTGGGATAATTTACTTTCCCAACAGCGATGATTGTTTTTCATAAGCCTATTTCGTGGGAGATATTTATTATCATTTTTCTTCTGCTTCAGTTGTTGGAAGTAGAATTTTTCTACACTGGTCAAGGGTCGGTTAATTTGTTAGTGACTATCGATTAGTGTATACATGTGTGCTAGTTGTAAATCTGGCACAAATTAGTACCGGTTCTCATACAGATTTTCACTTGAAATCCAGCCTAATGGTTACACAGCAAGGCATGTGAAATCTAAATACTAATAGTGGCGGAAAACATGCACCGTTCTCGAGTTCCTAAAGCAAACCTCGGAAGATTAATTTTTATACAGAAGTTTTCAGTGAGAAAAAACTTCTTCCCTTACACTGTAGCCCAGTTAAACTTCTGACAACAGAGCAGTTCTAGGTAGATTAGTAGCAAAAGGACATAATTGCTAATAGTAATGAGTAATCCATGAAATAACTTTCAAGGATACACCTTTTAATTATACTAGTAAAGAGCACGTGCCATGCACATATGGGGGATGAAATTGCATATGTTCAAGCATTGGAACTTTTATTTGGACAATTACATATGTTCGAGCACGTGCGATTCCATCCCCCATTGTGTTCGAGCACAATAAACCAATTAGATTGTAAATATTCCTTCCTATAAAAAAAGTGACAACTTCATTCACACATTCAAAAATATTTTCAAAATATTTTCATCAGGCTCCGACATTCTCTTTTCAATGTTATGTATTAAAAAAATAGACGAACTACATAATCTAGTGTTTGCAAATCGTTGACCACCTTGGTTGTTGCAATGATTTTGGAGTTGTTTATCATATCTTTCACATTCGTTTGGATTTGCAATATTTATGTGTCTGTTATCGTAAATATGGTATAGATTAGATAGTATCAATTAGGTGATATGGTAAATCCCTTAGATTAGGTGTTTTGATTGCTTTCCTTTCTTACATCTCCTTTGGCTTTGGCTTGTATATATATGTTGTAACCCTTATTGAGTTGAATATCAAATAACATTACATGGCATCAGAGCCAAACCAAAATAAAGTTAGGGTTTTCTGAAATTTTTTAGTAAAATTCGTTGGTGTTCATAGTAGACACACTTCGGGTGAGTTTCGGGTCTCACCTCCTGCACCTTCGGACTCGTCATCGCCGGACCGGCCATCCGGTGAAGCAGCGTCGTCACATTCCGCGCGTGTGAGGAACACGCGCCGCCGTAGCCGCTGCAGTCTGTCTCACGCGCCGGCGCGTGTCTGGTCGGAAAATTTTCCGGCGAACGTCCGTCTGCTCGGAATTTCTCAGGCTTTCCGTTGGTATTCTCAGTTTCAGGTTTCGGTGACTCCTTGGTGTGCAGGTTGATTTTTTTTTTAATTTCAGCCCTTTGTTATCGATTCATTTGCTTGGGCACAATCTTATTCTTATGGCTGTGAATAAAATTGTGTCTGAAATCGTCCCTATTATGAACAAAATCACCGATGTTAAATTAAATGGTTCTAATTTCCTTGGTTGGAGTAAAACTATTATCGTCCACCTCCGTAGTACTGACAAGGACGATCACTTGGATTCGGATCCTCCCACTGATGATGTCAAAGATGATACTCGTCGGGCGTGGTTACGTGATGATGCAAAATTGCTCGTTCAAATTCGAAACTCCATCGAGCCTGATATACTCTCTTTGGTCAATCATTGTGAATTTGTCAAAGAATTGATTGATTATCTAACCTTCTTATACTCTGGACGTACCAATATCTCTCGTATTTATTCAGTTTGCAAATTGTTTCATAGAGGAGAGCAACAGGATAAAAACGCTACGGCATATGTCATGGAGTTTAACAAGGTTTATGAGGAACTAAACTCTCTCCTTCCATTAAGCAGCGATATCAAATCAATGCAGAAGCAACGAGAACAAATTGTTGTTATGAGCTTCTTGATTGGGTTACGTCCAGAATTTGATGTTTTCAAGAATCAACTTCTCTCCGAATCAGCCATTCCTTCTCTCCAAGAGACATTTTCTCGATTTCTTCATACAGAGGAAATGCAGTCTCCCGCTCTCGGCACTCATGTCGCTCAGCATAGTGCCATGGTCAGTCGTGGAGTCTCCCAAGGTAGTTTTCGTGGCGGATCTCGACGAGAATCTCGAGGGGGATCTCGGGGTGGTACTCGAGGAGGTCCGACAAATCGTGGCTCTCGTAATTCTGAATTCGACGAAGTGGAGTGCTATTATTGTCATGAATTTGGGCACACTAAGTATTCATGTCCTCAGTTAGAGAAGAAGAATCAGAAGGGTTCTGCTGATGTTGCATCATCGTCTGACATGGTCACTATTTCTGCTGAGGAGTATTCTCGACTTACTGCAACAGAGAAACCTTCTTCATCCGCTGCTGTCTTTGTTGACACAGGTAATTCCGGTACATGCCTTATATCTAAAGGCACCAGATGGGTCATTGATTCATTGATTCAGGTGCATCAGATCATCATATGACAGGTAACCCAAACCTTTTTTCCACCCTTGACCCCATACACCTTCACATGTCACTATTGCTGACGGGTCTACTACTCGTGTCCTTGGTTCTGGTTCAGTTAGTCTTACTCCTTCAATCTCGTTACACTCTGTACTAAGCTTGCCAAACTTTGCTTTTAACCTACTCTCTGTTAGCAAACTTACAAAATCATTGAATTGTAGCGTCTCATTCTTTCCAAACCATTTTATTGTGCAGGATCATTCAACGAAGCAGATCCTTGGTGAAGGGCGTGAATCTGATGGCCTCTATGTTTTCGACTCTCCCACATCTAAGTCACTTGTTTGCACCCCCTCCTCCTCCGCACTAGATACGCATTGTCGTCTTGGCCATCCTTCCCTCCAGAGTTTGAAAAGATTGGATCCTCAGTTTTCAAGTTTATCGTCCTTATTTTGTGAGTCTTGTCAGTTTGCTAAACATTGCCGTAGTTCTTTATCGCCTAGAATAAACACGAGGGCTGCGACCCCATTTAGGTTGGTTCATTCTGATGTATGGGGTCCTTGTTCTATGTCATCAAAATCTGGTTTTAGATATTTTGTTACTTTTATTAATGATTTTTCCCGTGTCACTTGGATATACTTTATGAAAAGTCGTTCTGAAGTTTTTCAACATTTTTTGTCCTTTAGTGCCAAAATTAAAACTCAATTTCTTGCTACCATTCAAACACTTCGAAGTGATAATGCGAAAGAATTTTTGTCTGCACCATTTCAGTCTTATATGCTTGAAAATGGGATTTTGCATGAAACGTCGTACCAGCTCAAAATGGGATTGCTGAACGTAAAAATCGGCACCTCCTCGAGGTTGCTCGAGCATTACTCTTTCACATGCATGTTCCTAAAACTTTATGGGTTGATGCTGTGTCCACTGCTTGTTTTTTAATCAATCGAATGCCCTCGGCTGTCTTTGGTAATTCAATTCAATTTTCAGTTCTTTACCCAGATAAACCTATTTTCCCTATACCGCCTAAAATTTTTGGGTGCACTTGTTTTGCCCGGGATACACGACCTCATGCCACTAAGTTAGATCCTAAGTCTCTCAAGTGAAAAATCTTGGGTATTCCAGGGTGCAGAAAGGGTATCGGTGTTTCTCTCCTGTCCTTGGTCGGTATGTTGTGTCTAGGGATGTTAGTTTTAATGAACACCTCTCATTTTTTTCTACCCGAGAGCTTCCATCTCCAGAGGAAGACGACTTCTTGGTATATTCTGTTACTCTCACTAGGCCTCCTTCCCCTCCGCCTCAGATAACTCGGCCACCCATTACACAGACATATACTCGACGTTCTCAATCACATCGCGAGGTCATCATAGATTCTGATTCACGTCCTTTGCTTGCTGCTCCGGTGGAAGACCCTGTCCCCGAACCAAATATCCCTGATGACCTTCCTGTTGCGCTTCGCAAAGGTAAAAGATCTTGCACTTACCCTATTGCTTCTTGTTGTGTCTTATGACAACCTGTCTGCCTCTTCAAGTTCTTTTATTGCCAAGTTAGACTCTAATTCTATTCCTACATCTGTGGCACTGCTTTGGCTCATCCTGGATGGCGTGCTGCTATGATTGAGGAAATGAATGCCCTTGATCATAATGGCACATGGTCTTTGGTGGACTTACCTGTTGGCAAAAAGGCAATTGGATGTAAGTGGGTCTTCACTGTTAAAGTTAATCCTGATGGCTCTTTGGCACGTCTTAAAGCTCGGCTTGTAGCTAAAGGCTATGCTCAGACTCATGGCACCGATTACTCTGAGACTTTCTCTCCCGTGGCTAAACTTACCTCTGTCCGGTTGCTCATCTCTCTTGCTGCCTCTTCTGACTGGCCTCTGCACCAACTTGACATTAAGAACGCGTTTCTCCATGGCTTTCTTCGGGAAGAAGTTTATATGGAGCAACCACCTGGTTTTGTTGCTCAGGGGGAGTATGGGAAGGTATGTCGTCTTCATAAATCTTTATATGGGTTGAAGCAAAGTCCCCGAGCTTGGTTCGACAGATTTAGCCAGATTGTTTTGAAATATGGGTTAGTGAGATGTAAATCCGGTAACTCGGTATTCTATAGGCGATCAAGTCTTGGGATCATTTTATTGGTTGTGTATGTCAATGATATTGTTATTACAGGGAATGATAATGATGGGATTTCAAACCTAAAATCATTCCTCCATGAGAATTTCCAAACAAAGGACTTGGGACACTTGAAATACTTTCTGGGAGTAGAGATAATGAGAAGTAAGAGAGGAATTTTCCTTTGTCAAAGGAAGCATGTGCTAGATCTTCTTAAAGAAACTGAAAAAGTTGGGGCAAAACCATGCAGCACTCCGATGACACCAAACATGCAGTTAGGAAAGGATGATGGTGAGCCATTTCATGATCCAGAACGATATTGAAGACTTGTAGGAAAGCTAAACTATCTCACCGTAACACGCCCTAATATATCCTTTGCAGTTGGTGTAGCAAGTCGATTTATGTCTTCTCCGACCGTTAGTCATTGGACACTTCTTGAACAAATTTTGTGCTACTTGAAGGGGGCTCCTGGACGGGGATTGTTCTATGGGCGACAGAGTTATCAAAAGGCTAAGGCAGTGGAAGCATATTGTGATGCCGACTACGCAGGTTGCAAAGATGATAGAAGATCGACGTCTGGATACTGTATATTTGTGGGAGGCAATCTAGTTTCATGGAGAAGCAAGAAGCAGAATGTTGTTTCTAGTTCAGTTGCCGAAGCAGAGTATAGGTCGATGGCTGATTCAGTATGCGAGGTCGTATGGAGACATCAGTTACTAAAGGAGCTTGGATTAGAATTTGCTCTCCCAGCAACACTTTGGTGTGACAACCAAGCAGCAAACCACATTGCATCAAATCCTGTATTTTATGAACGGACCAAACACATCGAGATAGATTGCCACTTGTTCGTGATAAGGTCGAAGAAGGTTTCGTCACTACAAGATATGTCAAGTCTGAGGATCAATTAGGGGACATATTTACTAAAGCAGTAAATGGTGTAAGAATGAAAAATATTTGTAACAAGCTGGGCATAATTGATATATATGCTCCAGCTTGAGGGGGAATGTTATCGTAAATATTGTATAGATTAGATAGTATCAATTAGGGGATATGGTAAATCCCTTAGATTAGGTGTTTTGATTGCTTTCCTTTCTTACATCTCCTTTGGCTTGTATATATATGTTGTAATCCTTATTGAGTTGAATATCAAATAACATTACAGTGTCTAATAACTTTTTTAATGCTTTTATTCTCCAACTTTTTCCATCATTATAATGCTTCGAAAATTGAAAGTAAGATCTCTTCAACAATGACCAAACAAAACAAAACAAAACAATCAATCAGACTATGAGAAGCATATCATTTGTCAAAATATTTGAGAGGAGAAGAATTAGAAAGTCTGCTATATTATAATACCTTATTCATCTATAAACTTTATTATTACACAATTGTTATTAAATCAAAGTTATGTGTTACGAAGTTTATAAATTTTTAATATTTAAAATTCAAAATTGATAATATAGGATCATTATTATAAGAACCAATTTTTCACCGAGTCTATATATTTGAACGCTGGCAACAAAAAATAGTAATTTTAAATTCTAGATATCGGTATTCATAAAATTCAGACTTTTTCCTTTCCCCATTGCATTATGGTTGTTTTATTTGTTTCTTATTTTATTTCCAAATAATATTTTATTTATTGAAAGAATTAGAGCACAATTATATGTATTGCGTCATTTTTTTTTACGTACTTTATATACTGACGTTGTTATCAAAATATCTTATGTATTAGGCTACAACTAATATAATCACATACTAATATAATCACATACGATAACATACTATTTAATATTACTTATTTATTTATTTATAATAATAATATATGAGATAAAAATGTACTTTTATACTGTTTATACGATTAGAAAGTTTATGAGTTTTTCTCGATGTTTGATAAAATATTAAGTAACTAACTCATATTCATATTCACAAAAATATATGTTACAACTGTTATGGTGTATCCTTTCAAGCAGTAATAAAATTGAATAATAGTTTAACACAAAACTCATTTATTTTCTCTTTTTAATTCACATATTTAATGTTGGTAATAGTTATACGTTTACATCAATTTTGTATTTTTCTCTAAGTATGAATATTTCAAATATATGTAAAAAAAAATACCACAAGTTTATATTATGTTATTTTACACTTAATAAAATTGATTTAACATGGATTTATAATTTATTTTGCAAGATACTTTTAGGTCCATTTATTATTTTAAATTATTATTGATAAATATAGATTTTATTTTATATCGATTCTGTTTTATTTACAATACATTTGTCAAGTCAAACATACTTGAAATAAAGTGATGTAATATATTAAATGTAAAAACCGTAACAAATAAAAAATATTAAGTATTTTAAAATTGAAAAAATTTAATGGTAAAAAATAATTATATTTTTAGTTAATATTAAGACTAACATATCGATTTTTAATGTAATATATATAATATTTTGTGTACGTAAAAATTCTAGTTAAAATAATGTGCGTCTTAAGTATGCTTTATATTTCTCAGCTCAAACTGATATAAACCATTAATTAATTTTATCAATTTTTCAACTTCTGGATTGAATGTGACTATAAGTTTTTTCATTATGTAGTATTACCTTTTTATTACCTAGAGCATCATTGTTTACCTCTTAATTGGTTAAAATAATTAAGGACTTACAACTCAGATGTATCTTGTTTATTTTGAACAAATTACTATTATCATAAGTTAAATGATAATTACATTGAATGTCTTATATTTTGTGTCATTGTTACTTATTAACAATTTTCATAATAATTAGTTACACACAATATTATATATAATGCAATTTATTTATTGATTTGGAGCCCTACTTTTACTAAAAGAAAATGATGAACTTCCAATGAAAATATCAACGAAGATATATTACAACAGAATTTCAACGACAATTCTAATTTTAATGACAAAGGACAATTTTAATGGGAACTAGTACGATATCCGCGTACAATAAACTATATAAGAACTAATAAAGAGATAATTATTTAAGAAGATATTGGTGTCCATTCTGTCAAAAATGATAACTTTTTAATCACATTTATAATTTTATAAAATATTATCTATAATTACATTAATTTGATTTTGTATTTTCAAAATAAAAAAATTCCAAGCTTCATAATATTGTAATTATATTTTTTACTTATAGAATCGGTCGCTCTAATCTATTAATTTTTCAAGAATCTTAAACTTTATAATTTCTTTATGATCGAAATATAAGTTAGTGTATATAAATGTAATATTTTCTGATTTAAAAAACAAAAAAATTATTTTTATTATTCTCTATGATAATTGTTCATATTTTTTATTTTCTAGACATTATAAATAAGATTTGAACTCTTTGTATACTTTATTTAAGTTGAAACAAAACTTTTTAATATATTTCTCTATATACGTATATGTTAACACTTAATTTTCCCTCTCTTTTTTCAACGTACGAGAAAACACACTAAAAATAATTATTTTATAGTGTGTTAGGAGAAAATACATTTTTTTATACGATAAATTTATTGTTTTATTTGATAATTTTTAAGTTGGTTTGATAAATAAATTAATTTTTTTAATAAAGGTAGATGGAATTACTTTTTTATTTTGTATATGAAATATGGATGTCAAACCAATGATGTTAAAAAGGACATATCATATATGGAAAAATGAAATACAAATGATAAATAACAATCTTTTAATAAAATATATGAAGAAAACATAAATATAAAAATCGATGTATCGATCAAATAACAAAAATGAAAGGTAGTACATGTTAACCTTAAAAAAAGGAAATTAAATATATAGTTTATGGTAATTCTCAAGCATAATTGTCAAAACCAAGCTTGCAGATGTATCAAATTCATGTCAAATAAGCTTTAGAATCATGCAAGCCTTACTTATGCTTAGCACATTGTGAATTAACATATGGAGACGTCATACCTAACGCTTTGCAGCAGATCCAGGAATCTAGCTGAACCATCCACCACTGGGGCCATTCCAGGAGTGCATTGCAACCACCCAATGTCGTCAGAAGATCCATGCAAAGTTTTCAGAACTCGAGCTGCAACACTAAAGAATTTTCAAATGAAGGTTACAAACATTTAACCAAAAAAGAAAAGGAAGGAAGAAATAAGGTACTTTTAGAATAAACGGACAGTCCTTTCACCTCTGTATGCGATCTTGTATGCATCTCAATTGACAACAAAAATAACTCCAAGTTCCTATCGCTGATCTCCAAGCGAATTCAAAACAAAGTATTGGGAGCATCAATCTAAAACCGTGGTATATAACAGCACTTTTAATCAATAAGGTAACATTTAAACTGGCAGCTAATGTAAAAAGTATACACCATGATAAATGGTTTTAAAAGAAGCACCAAATGCATTAACTTTACCCTTTAAAAATGAAGACGACACCCCTACAGTAACTTCTCTTTACAATTTGTAATCCTGAACTAAGAAATGATTGCTCCTCCGAGTCCAAGGCATGCCTTTCAATAAAGCCAGAGCTTGAACTGGAGTTACAATCTGTTGAAGAAGATGCAAAATCTAGAGAAGAGAGCTTGTGAGTGCTGAAGTTTGCAGATGTTAAAAGTCGTCCACAAGAATTGATCTCTGAATCTCTGAAAAACCTACTCACATCTCTTAATACAAGATCTTCTGCAATAAAACAATTTGCAAAGAAACAAATAAGATCTGATAAAAATGTTTAATAGAAATATATGCCATGTGTAGGAGATTATAAGGGTACCATCATACGGCAATTAAGAGCTCACCAAAAAATTCAAATACTCTATGTGTTATATAGGAAGTTAGGCTCAAGAGACGAGAAAAGATGTCATCCATTTCCAAACAGCATGAGTAGCAGATTGAAGAGATATTATTACTTGCCATGGTAGCAATATCCTGCTTACTGCGAAAAATATACATTATTAGAATGGGATCAAGTCATCTCATATGATATAAGGAAAGACTGGAAAATCCAGAAAAGATAATAATGCCAAAAGGAAATTGTAATTCATAAGTATAGTATTTAGGAAATCGATTAGCAGTAACAATGATCGAGGACATTAATTCAACGAGAAATCATCCAGTTGAGAGATAAAAACTGTGTATTTTACGACTGTGCTTGCAGAGGACTACAACATATCTCCATGACTTGATCGGTACTCATCATTAAGGGGTGAGCCAAAGCGGCCAAGAGATGTACAGGTTCCCCATTCAGACTTATTTAAAAGAAAGCAATTCGAAAACAAGAGTAACCGATTTGCTATTCTATCACTAAAAGTTGAAAAAACATATCAACATATCAAGGTACAGTTGGAAAACAAGAGAAAAGTTTCAAAATAGTAATTAAAAGGTGATATATTTATACTAGTTCTTCAGGACCATGGTTGGATAAGTCATGAATACATGTACATCCTCGAGATCTACCAATAAATGAACAAAAAACCACTTCAACTATGAACAGAGATGAATACTTACGATTTAAAAGAGAGAGAGCGAGAGAGAGAGAGAGTGAGGGAGAGAGAGAGAGAGAGAGAGATGAATACCTACCAGATCTTCAATTTTGACCTCGAGAGAGAGAGATGAATAATTAACGATTTAACAGTTAATCCTACAGAGAACAGAAAGCTATCTTACAACCAGCAGCGTCAATGGAGGAAAAGCAGACAAATCATTCAAAGTTTGTACGAAAAATTCGACGGGTAGTTTTTATAGTTGACTTGACTTGCTCATACATAACATAGCTGAATAGATCCACCAAAAGGTAAGCAGCCTGAATCTATAAGTTGAGGTGCTGAAAGCTCTCCATGTTCACCAGATATATGAACCGTTATAATTTGTAAAGTGCAGCCATCGAGTATTAATGTCAATTACCGTATTTCCAACACCATCATTACCCCACAGTTGCGAGAAAGTAAAATCTATCACACAATAAGACTGTTGGAAAGGAAGTATGAACAAACCAGTGATTAGGAGAGGATTAACCTGAATTTATCAGAAATGCGGTCAACGGTGAGCATCAAATCCAAAAATGGCGCCCCTTTCTTATAAAGATGTATGAATGCGTGTAGCAAAATCTAGACGTCCCCATTTCCAATAAAGAATGCAGCTTTATTCCGGAAATGATAAAAATCACACTCTATATTAATAATAAAGATAACATATTTTACTTTTTGAATGCCGACCGAATTAAAAGACCAGCTTAGAGGTGGCCAACAACCAGACGGCCAAATGAACGATGGAGTAATGGAAAAGAGAGAGAGAGATCTGTTTTCCAAATTCCAATGCCCTTCACACGATGATCCATCACGCCTAGAGGTGGCCAACAACGGGTTAGGGGGCTGCTGTGACTAACTTACAGCAGCCCCAGCTGTTAATTTTGGGCCATTGGATCATACTAAAATTAAAATAGATCCAAGGATTGTAAGCAAATGATAAATAAAATATTTTTATAATTGATAGAGTCATTACCTCACTACAAAGTCTCAACAGGGGAACACGCTGAGCTGCTTCAAGAAGAAAAAAATAGTACAAACATGGCGGAGCAACATGATGAAGAAATTTGGTCAGAAAAAAATATCGAAATTGATTCAATGTGTTTGGACCCAACATCAGAAAATGATATTTTTCATGAAATTGGTAGAAAGATGGAGCCTAGAAAGAAAAACCCTACAGAGTAAGTTTTTCAAATTTCATTTCTTTGTTTTTGTTTTTTCATTGTAATGTACTTGGATGGTTGAATAATTTGTTTTGCTTAGGTGATGGGTGAAAGAAATTTGATTCTAATTTATTATTTTTGTGTTTAGTGGCATAATTAATATATGTGTTTGTATTGGGTATTTTTTTTATATTTTATTTTTTGCTAAAATTCTATGTTCATATGTTTATATGTAGGAGAAACTTAAGTTCTGCTGATTGTGAGGAAGATGTCGTTTTTGAGAATTCTACAAATGTTGACAAGGAAATTGTAGATGATGCAATGCATGGTAACTCTATAAGTAGTGACCGGATATCAAACGAAGAACCAAGAGTTGGAATGATTTTTAATACTCTTGATGAAGCATGGGATTGTTGGCAAAATTATGGGAAGCTGATGGGATTTGGGGTTAGAATAAATTATCGCAACAAAAGCCAAAAGGATGGGGTATATAATAACGCAGTTTTTGTTTGTCGAAAGGAGAGTAAAAGAGTTGAAGATAAAAGGAGGGTGAGAGTCATCCATCGATGGGAAGAAAGAACATCGTGCAAGGCTAAGTTAAATGTAGTTTTAGAGAGGTCGATTGGAAAGTACAAGATTAAAGAATTCGTTGCAGAACATAATCATGAACTTGAGCCACCGGAAACGAGTCATATGTTGAGATCGCATAGGCAAGTGAGCCGAGCCGCTGCCGCTGCTATTAATTTAGCACATGATGCCGGACTCACCCCAAAAGCAACACACCACTTGAGAATTAGAGAAGCAGGAGGTTGGGATAAAGTTGGATACATATTGGAAGATCAAAAGACTTATTTGCGCTCGAAAAGAGAAAAAAACATGGTGTATGGTGAGCTGGGAAGTATTATACGATACTTTGAACAGAGAAAACGTAAAGATCCTTCATTTCTTTATTCTATGCAATTTGATAGTGATGAATTAGTCACTAATATATTTTGGGCAGATTCGAGGATGATTGTTGATTATGGTGATTTTGGGGATGTAATTACATTTGACACCACTTATGGCACAAATAAAGAATTGAGGCCCTTGGGTGTGTTCACGGGATTTAATCATCACAGACAAATGGTAATTTTTGGTGGTGCACTTTTGTATGATGAGACAACTGATTCGTTTGCTTGGCTTTTTGAAACGTTCTTGAATGCTCATGGAGGTAAAGAGCCGCAAACCATTTTTACAGATCAAGATGCGGCTATGGCGAATGCTTTGACAAAAGTATTGAAAAAAATACGACACGGGCTATGCACGTGGCATTTGAATCAAAATGGAATCAAACACTTGGGTTGGCGCATGAAAGACGGCTCTTCATTCTTAACGGAGTTTCAGAGGTGTATGTTTGAATATTCAGAAGAGGATGATTTTGAAAGAGAATGGAAAAAATTACTTGATAATTATGATTTGCACGATAATGAATGGCTATCGCGTACATATGGGTTGAAAGAGAAGTGGGCCAAGTGTTACATGAAGTATGCGTTTACCTTGGGAATAAGAAGCACTCAACTGAGTGAGAGTTTGAATAGTGATTTGAAATCCCATTTAAAATGTGATATGAATATTTCTGATTTTTTCAGACAATTTGATAGGGTCGTGGATGAAAAAAGAGAGCGGGAGCTTAAAGCCGACTTTGATGCGAGACAGAAGATACCTCCACTTGAATCGTATGATTCTTTGTTGTTGATGCAAGTGTCACAGTTGTACATTCCTGAGATTTTCACACTTTTCCAGATTGAACTTCGTGCTGCTTTAAGAGTGGTGATAAAAAAGAAAAATGAGGCTCAATGTCCGCATGAATATGTGGTTTGTCTTCATGGTTCAAGAGAAAATGAGATGAACGTACTCTTTGATCCTTCAAAAGATTGGGTCGTTTGTAGTTGTAGAAAGTTCGAAATTATGGGAATATTGTGTTGTCATATCTTAAAAGTATTTATTATTCAGGATGTGATGTGCATTCCACAAAAGTACATATTGGCAAGGTGGACAAAAGGCGTGAAAAGTGCCCAAAGCTTGAACAAAGAAAAAGTTGATGGTGTAGAAGATGTTAGAGAATGGGTCCAAAGGCTTCAATCTCAACTCTTACGGATGACACTTCAAGCTTCCGCCCATGAAGTGACACGAAGTTGCATGGAGCAAATGGTGAATGATTGTAATAAGCAAATTTTTTCTTTTACAACAAAAAATGAGATAGCAAATGAAGTTCCTTCGTCCAACCTAGGTGATAAAATTGAAAATATGAAAGGCTTGAAAAAAAAGGATGGGAGAAGGAGAACAAAGCGGCCAAAGAGTTGGATCGAAAAACATGTTGGGAAGTTCAAAAAATCAAAATCATTGAAAGAGGTAATCATTATATTTTATATGTTTGATAAATGCATTAGTACATTATAACATATTTTCATTTTATTTTTTTATTTCCTTGTTTTCATGTAAGCCATGTCGATCGATTGCTAATTCACAAGAAAACTTAAATTCTCGAGTAGCAGTGCATCATCATCAACAAGAAAATGTGGGTGATGATATTGCTTTATCTCACTTGATGGTATCTCCAAATTAGAATGGTACGTATTTTAATTTTTCTTAAAAAAAAACTTTAATAACTAAAATTATTATTCATATTTTTATGTGTTGGTTGCAGTTTACAAGCATTCCAATAATTTGAGATTTAGGCTATTTCAAGAGAAATGCAAGGCAATTTTTTAATTTTTTTTTTGGGAGACTTGTAATGTACTCTCTTATGGTTGTGAATTATCTTTTGAGGGCATAATCATTTGCAATGTATCTTTCTTTTTTTAAGTTAATATGAGTCTATTTACCTTGATAATGTATTAGTATGTGTTGAAATGGTTGAGTTTTGAATTGCTATTTTGTCTCACGTTTTAGCTTTTTTTCCTCACATTTACTTGCAAGAACATAGTTTCTTAAACTTATTTGGTTGTTGGACACCATGTTGTGAGCTCACCAAGTTGTTTGTATAAGAACATGAATGTTAGGAATGTGTTCAAACTGGCCCTTGTGCTTAATTTGAGCAAACTTCATGGAAACTAATCCATTTTAAGACCCCAAGAAACAACCTTCTCAAGGCTTGTACAAAATTTCATTAACAGATAGAACAACAAATTAGCAAGAAAAATGCTTCCCAGATACACAAATCAATTCATATGGTCTCATTTGACAAATCAAAAGAAGAAAAAAATACAAAATAAAATAATGAATTTCATAGATTACCAGAAAAATCTTGGTCAGGAGCACTAATAGGTGCTTCAGTTTGTGATTTACATACCATTTCAAACCCAAAAAGAAATTATACAAGCATTAGAACAAGTAACATTGAATTTGTGATTTACATACCATTTCAAACCCAAAAAGAAATCATATTAGAACAAGTAACATTGGGGAAGAAAAATCATGTACTGGCACACGGCGGGCCTCGTCTGGGCTTGGCCCAAGTCGACCCGCACTCGGACTGTGCCCACGAGCTTGCCGAGCTTCCAAGTGGATAGCCCCGCCACCATCAGCAACGGCGCCCTTCAAGTCACCCCGGACTCCGCCTCCGCCGACTTCAATCCCTTCAATAACTCCGGCCGCGTTCTCCTCCTACGGAGGTTCAAGCTCTGGCACGACGCCACTGCCCCAGCCGCCTCCTTCAACACCTTAGATTTATTAAGTATAATTAATTTATTTTTGTCATACCTTATTCCCAAAAAATATAAAAGATTATTCATAATAAGTAGAAAAAAATAATAATAAAGATTTAATCTTTCTAAGACAGTAACATCGAGGNATGAGATGAAATAATAGTGAACAATATTGCCTCTTTGTAAGTTGTTGGGCTTGAAGCCATGGGCACCTTATGTTCCCAATCCAATAGCCGCTACACCTACAAACAATTGCAGAAAGATACAATTTTTGCACAACAAAAAATAGAGAAAAATGAAGGTAAGGAGGAGATTGAGCGAGGTTAGGTCACGCACAGACATTAAAACGGAATGTTGTTCACTTGCTGCTACTTTGTCCCACGTGTTTATCTATTATAAAAATACTTTATTCATCATTTGCTTACAACCTTTGGATCTATTTTAATTTTAGTATGATCCAATGGCCCAAAATTAACAGCTGGGGCTGCTGTAAGTTAGTCACAGTAGCCCCCCCTAACCCGCCAACAACCAGACGGCAACCGCGGATTTCGATTCACATTTTTTGTGAACTTGAATTGGCGGTTCACGATTCAGAATCGGTCCGTCGATTCCGGGCCAACCTGCATATTAAACAATAAAAATAATTAAAAATAATAAAAAATACAAAATAAAATATTATTTTTAAAATTTTCAAACCACTAGTTCCGATTTTAAATCAAAACCGTCGATTCAATTTGTGAAAATGATTGAACCTGCGTCGGTTTTTTGGTCTGCGGTCGATACCAACTGTAACGCCCCGCCCTAACTTAATTATCAGAGTGTGATTATAAGACATCTTTTTAAAATAGTTTGAGAAAATGATTCGGAGCGTTACTAAAAAAATTATTTTATTTTTTAGAAATCCGTTACGACCGTTTAAAAATTTACAACAAAAACGGATTTACATAATATACAATCCGACTATAAAATCGGATCAAAAGTCAAAGTTTGTCAAACAGTAAATTCAGCGGAATATGGCGTGGTAAAATATACAACAAAATATTTAACTTCGATCCACCCGTCAACTTCACAGCTCCGGACCGACTTCATGACCTGAAAAATTTGATAAAAATGGGGTGTGAGTACCACTAAACCAAAAATATGGGTCGATTTATGGTTCGCGGTGAAGGGTTTGACAGGTCCGGTTTAGGGCCGAACTTGCGACCCGATTCAGCACGTGGGCATGTCTAATCACGCTCCACATTGCACAGCCAAACCAATTTTGTTAGTTTTGTTTTTTGGATATTTATTTTTATTCAAATAAAAAATTTTAATTCAAAATTCACTTTTCATTTAATACAACTTAACTTTGATACGCAAGTTGACGTTAGGACGAGTTACACAGACAACACCGCGAACGGTCATTTACTTCGAGGCACCGATGACCTGCAATATGCCTGCGTGAAAAAA